TAGTACTCTCTTATAGTTCTTATTATTTTTGTAAAATCAGTAGTATTGTTCCCTCTTTCATTTGTGATTTTAGTTATTTGGGTCTTCACTTTTTCTTAGTCAATCTAGCTAAAAGTTTTATTGATTTTTTTCAAAGAACTACCTCTCAGTTTTGTTAATTTTTTCTATTGTTTCCCTATTTTGTTTCTATCTGATCTAGTCTTTATTATTTCCTTCATTCTGTTAGCTTTGGGTTTAGTTTCCTCTTCTTTTTCTACTTCTCTAAGGTATAAATTTAGGTTGTGAGGCTTTCCTCATTTTTTTACTTTAAGCATTTACAACTATAAATTTCCCCCTTAGTACTGTTTTCACTGTAACCCGTAAGTTTTGGTATGTGTGTTTTTGTTTTTATTTGTCTCAGGATATTTTCAAATTTCCCTTGTGATTTTTTTCTCTTTAACCTGTTGGTTGTTTGAGTGTTTGATTTCCACATATTTGAGGATTTTCCAATGTTCCTTCTGCTACTGATTCTAGTTTCATTCCATCGTGATTGAAAAATATACTTTGTATAATTTCAACCTCTTAAAATTTATTAAGAATTGTTTTGTGGCCTAACATATGTTCCATGCTGCAGAACATTTCATGTGCACTTGAGAAAAAATGCGTATTCCTTTGTTGTTGAGTGGAGCGTTCTTGTGTATGTTTGTTAGGTCCAATTGGTCTGTAGTGTTGTTCAAGTTTTCTATTTCCTTACTAATCTCTGTCTAGCTGTTCTACCCATTATTGAAAATGAGTTATTGATGTTGCCTACTACTATTCTAGAGCTATTTCTCACTTCAGTTCTGTCAATGCTTGCCTTGTATATTTAGGAACTTTGATGCTTGGTGTGTAGATATTTATAATTACTATATCTTCTTGGTGCATTGGCCTTTATATCATTATATTGTGTCCTTCTTTGTATCTAATAACAGTTCTCATTTAATGTCTATTTTGTCTGGTATTAGGATAGACACCTCTGCTCTCTTTTGATTATTATTTTCCTGGAATATTTTTGTCATTCTTTCACTCTCAACATATGTGTTTCCTTAGATCTAATAGGAGTCACTTGTAGTTTGGGCATTTGAAAAAACAACCACCTTTCCCGGTCTTTACAGACTGGCTCTGTGAAGGGAAAGACCTTCACTAACCAACCTGGCATGAAGGTTTATGGTCTTCTCAGGCCTTTCTAAGCATGCCTGTTCCCCAGGCCTGTATGTATGATTCTTTCCTCAATCCGTCATATATATGGCTTCCTTTAAATGTCTTATATTCTCTAAGAATTCCACCTTCGCTTATTTTCAAGATCTTAATGTTCTTTTGTATTCCTCTGCCCATAATTTCTTGGCCCCAGGAGCCTACAGATCTGCAGCCCCTCTGCAGCTCTTATAAGCCCTGGTGCCTGCACAGTTTTCAGTGGCCTCCAAACTGATATCCAAACTATGTCACCATTTCCACCAGTGCTCCAAATTAGACAAGACAGAAACCAGTCCTTCAGGAAGCTCCAGACAAGCTAGAACAATGCAAGTAAGTTCCACTCTCTTCCCTCCATTGCTTGGGGGAATCAGGAATTGGACAGCTTCCTCTTGACCATGCTGTGCTAGGGAAGAGGCAGAACATGGCTGAAAAACACACCCCCAAATTTCCTTCCATACTGAGTGTAGCTTTTTCTTGGTTATATATTTGCTTGGCTGCTCCAAATCCTTAACTGGTTTCTCATGAAACTACTTTGGTTAGTAGTTGTTGTTTACTGTGTTTCCATGGGTGAACAAGGGCCTGGAGCCTCCTAGTCCACCATCTTGCTGATGGCACTCTTCAGCACTAGTATTTATTATTATTATTATTAACAGCCTTGTGTAGTTAATTCACTTCCTCTCATACCTTTAACAATGCCTCAATTTTCAAGTGAAGAGTAAGTACTAACCTCTTTGATTTGTTAATAGGTAATGACACAGCAATAGAAATCAAATGACTGTCTATTACCAGCAAATTTAAGGACTACAATTTATCAAATCACAATATTTTTGAATGCTCATTTTGCTTGATGATTCAGCTGTACACAGCATTTTATAGATCTTTGTACCTCAAGTGTCTGAAAGTTGCCCTACATATAAATGATGGTCAAAATTGATGACCATAATAATGACACTTATATAGCTTATTTCTCCATGAGCTAAACCCAATTGGTTATAAAAGTTGACTTCTGAAAATAATGTTGACTTCATAGTCTTTAACATTTAATGGAGAAAAACTACAGATCTTCTGTAGATAACCTATGTTTCCTTGGATACTTTAGGTCCTTAGGAGAATATAAAGATTTTATCTTTTGAACCATCAATCCTAGCAAAGAAAATCAAAGGAACTTGAGATTTATTTAGTTTCCTCCCATCAGGAATATCCATCCTCCTGAATCCTAAAATGCTACTTCTGTAGGAAATATCCCAAGTACTCCATGTTCTTGGGACTAATTACCTACTCTATCTCCTCAAATATATTATATATTCAGTTTGTTCTAGCACACATTCATGTACTGCTTTGTAGATATTTTTCACTTTTCTGACTCTTTAATCTCCCTGATTAAATTATATACTTCAATCATGCTCTTACACCACATCTGGTTATTCAAGAAGTACTGTAAGACCTTCTTACAGTTCTCTCACAAATACCCCTTATAACTAACATCAGCCTCTTTCAGCTCTCACCTCCTCATACATTATCAGTTTCATTCTATGAAGGCACTCCTTTGTCTGTATCACCATCCTACTTAGACACTTCACAGTACATATTAGATAACGGTCACACTCCTTCATGATCCTCCATAATTTAGCTTCATACTACATCTCCACATTTATTTCCCAAGTCCTCATCATGACCAGCCCTGGTTGTCTAGTGATTAAGATTTGGCACTCTCACCACGACGACCTCATGTTTGTTTCCTCGTCAGGGAGCCACACCACCTTCTGTCAGTTGTCATACCGTGGAGCTGCAAATTGCTGTGATGCTGAAAGCTATGCCACCTATATTTCAAATACCAACAGGGTTGCCCATGGTAGACAAGTTTCAGTGGAGCTTCCAGACTAGAAGAAGAACCTGGCCACCCTCTTCTGAAAAAACTTTGCTGTGAAAACCCTATGAATAGCAGCAGAGCATTGTCTGATATAGCACTGGAAGGTGTGAGGATGGCGCAAAAAGACCGGGCAGGGTTCCACTTTGCCGTACACAGGGTCTCTAGGAGTCGGATCGACTCCACAGCACCAACACAAAAGTCCCTATCATGAATCCCATGTTCCCTGTACTTGTTTTTAGATCTTGAAGTATGCTGGTTTTCCAACTTCAATGTCCAGCCAAGTCATACCCCTTACTAAATTTATTCATTTATACCTTTCATTCATTTAGAATATATTTAATGCTGTTTACTCCTTTCCAAAACCTACCTTTTGCATTCATCTTTCTCCAAATACTTTAGCCCCCAATGTGTTCTAACTTCTCTAGTCCTACACAGTAATTACTCCTCTGCCCCATTTATTTGGCACATTGAGTATGATTTCTTGGCATATTTACTCATATTTTTTTTCAGTCTATATCATATGCTCCCAACTAACCTGTATGTTTCTTGAGGACAGGAAACAATAAGCTTTTTCTTTTTGCTGTGTGCACTCAACACAGTGTCTATATTTAATTATCTTTCTGAATAGTTATTATTCTCCCTGGTCACAAGAGCAATGGTAGATAGTGATGATATTTACTCAATAAGCATTGGTAAAATAAGTAAAATTGAGGACTGATTTCCAGAAAACACACACAGATTGTTTATCTCATGTATTAAAAGATTTAACTAAAATTTATATTTTAATGGCATTTTCTACATGCTCCTCTGATGCCTGCTAACTGTTTTTCAGGATTTGCCAAGAAGTTTTTGAATTTTAATAGTTTCCTGGCTGGTCAGAAAAATCCTTTTTTCAAGCCATTAAATCATAGAATAATGTATAAACCCAGAGAGTTACACCACACTCAAGTGTTAACAAGGAGAGTTGCCAATAAGTTCACAGTGATGTGCTCAGCTTAGGACCCAAATCAAAACAGGCATTCTATAAATATTTGTGAGTGAATGAGTATCAATGGGTGCTTTTCTCAATGTTTATGCAAACTGAGGGAGCAGGCTAGTTGAAATAGTGGTCTAATGATTAATGTTGAAAATCAGTCTACAGCTTTTATGGTGCATCCTCCATTAATAGATCATTCTTAGCTTGGGTGGTGTTTTCATCACCCAGTGGTGGTGAGCAGTAGTTTGAGCAGAACCATATCAAAGATTTTGGACTAAGCTTCTCTCCTTCCACAACTCCTCAGTTTCTTCTCTTTGGGACTTTGCACCTAAACTAACACAAAGCATAGGTGTCCATGACTCCCAATATGATATTACTTTGCTAAGAAATACACACGTTTTACCAGAAGTCTTCTGGAGACATACTGTAATTTGCTAACCTGTAGGAATCATTCAAATGGGAGAAGTTTGGGATACTCAGATGAATATTTGGCATCTTTTTCTCAATCCTCAAGCCATAGCTGAAAGACTACAGCCTACTCCTTCTTAGTAATGGGACAGAGGCCTTCTTTTTACAATTTAAGGAAAAAATATTTTGAAATGAATTAAATGTTTTTAAATTAATGGACATCCCTATAAAATTTTTTTGATTCAGTTTCACTCTGAGAACACATTAAGTTTCTTAAGTTTGGCCCAGAAAAGTCTAACACTTGACTTTCTCATTTTAGATTCCATTGGATAGTGAATAAAAACAAATGGAAAAACACACAAAAAAGATAATTCTTGGACTCTAAAGATTACCCAGAGATTTCTTCAGATCTCACTCACCTATTTTACCCCCAATTTCTAAAAACAAACACAAAGCATTTTTAACCAGTTTTCAACAAGACACTCTAATCTTTTATTACGTATGCATTTAACGAAAGAAAGCATTCTTTAGATGTCAAGATTAAATGTGTTTATTTTGAGTTAGTGGATACAATGGTATATTAGATACCGGCACTCCAAGCTACACCTATGTATTTGCCCCTAAACCTTCACACATTATCAGTTTCCATTCCTCTAACATTTTACCACTGGGCCTCCTATTTCTAGCAAAATCATAGTTAAAATTTTTTAAAAAGTAAAAGCAAGATTGATCACCACATTGTGCTTCCAGTGCCCCCAGAAGGATTATAATTGTTCCAAATAAATGTTTATTGTTTTCAGTAAAGGGGGAAAAATTGATCACATGAGCACTAGTAATGGCACTACTAGAAGAGAAAGAACAGAATACAGATTAAAAGAAGCATTTTAGGCTGGATGAGTTAGTTTCTCCTTAGTAAAAAATCCACATAATGTCATGGATGTGATGTCAAAGTTGAATTTTCAATTTGTGGGCCACACACTTAAGCGTATTGGCTAGTATATTTTTGCACTGAAACAGAAGCAATACAAGCTTTATGTTCTACCATTACACTTCCAGATTTTTCACTTATTAGTATACCTGCCAACCTAATGATTCTTGCATGCATTAGAGTTTGCTTTTGTAGAGTTAAGTTTATTTCCCCCATCCCTCCCACTCCCGTAAACATTGTGATGCGAACTCTTTATCCAATTTTATGAGACTGTTGCAAAGGACAGCTCTGTGCCACCTCAGGACAGGAATTCCCTGTCCCCTCTCTGGGCTACAGATGGATCAGTAGTATTGACCACATCTTATCTTACATGCAGACACTGCTCCCTTAATTTCCCCATGCCAGAGGCATACGAGTCGGCAGGTATGCATACAAAAATGGAATTAAAAAGAAAAGGAAAAGAAAAAAAAAAACAAAAACAAAGAAAAAGCTTTCTTTTAAAGCCTATCGTCCTAGAAGGAATCCATTGCTTTGAATTCACTTAAAGCCTGTACAGGAGAAATGTGTTTCTTCTGAGAACCTCGTCTAACTCGCGTCTGGAATTCTTCAGGCTTTTCTCTCTTCACAAGGGGCTTCTTCTCTGGGGCCTTCATCTTCCAAGACACAACAGGGGAGTTGACAGCTGCTGTCCCATAGACCTTCTGGTATTTGGTTGAGGCCACATAGGATGCTTTCACCGTGAGGACAACAGCATTCATCAGGTTTTTAGCTGCCTGGATGAGTGACGTGGCGCTGTCCAGCTAGAGAGGGAGGAGAAGAATGAGACACCGGGGTTAGTCAAAGCACAACGTTCACAGGAGAGTGGTGTAACTTCACAGTTAAAACAATGTTGCGCTTGTGCAAGTATAGTATTGCCAAAAAAGAGCAAATTATTACATCATAAGGCAAACAGGTTGCAAAACAGTCACCTATCTTCTCCTATCCTTAATTGGAAGGTTAAAAAAAAAAAAAAGAGGATACTCTATGATGCATAGCTTTCTAAAATCCCAATACCTTTAAAGACAAAGCCCTCTTTTTAGTATGCAAGAATTCCAACATAAAAGTTTTCCAAACTGGAACATCTCAAGTTATTACATTCAGCTGATTGTTAACGGTGACAATTACTCAAATGTTTCAAAAGCACTTGGCAGACACTGTAGAATAAAAAGTTATAATGGGTTACATCGCAGATTTATGGCCCTACCAGTGGAAGTAGATCTCTGTTTATAGACTATTTCTCCATCCTGAGCTCAGGATTGGTAGGGATGCAGGCAGCTAAGCAGAGCACACCCATGGTATGCTGGCTTTTATTTAGGTGTTTATTGCACTTGAGTATCTATTTAATTATTCCCAGGACTTGAATATACCTCCTATAAAAATATCAATAATTGTGTCAGGCTCTTGTAGGTCAGAGAGCATTCAGCGAGACCCTCATATCCATGAAGATTTCTTACTATGTGACAAACATTATTTTAAAAATGGTGTATTTCCCCCATTTAACTATCACAACCCTATGAAGTTGGTATTATCGTCATTTCATTGTTTGATAAGAGAGCTGATGCATGCAGAGGTCCAGTAACTTTCATGGGTTTATACAGCTTAAGTGATGAAGTCCTTAAAGACTGCACCGTACTGCCACCTCCTTGGGTAGGATAGCTTTTCAAACGCTATGACAAGTCATAACTTAGAAGCTTGTCCCTAGATTCAGGCCAGGGATTTTTTTAGATTACCTCTTTTCTGCTTTTAACTGGTTAGACAGTGTGGTACATTCTGTATACTACTAGATCATTCAATATCTGTTTCAACCTTCTTCATTTCCTGGACTACAGATCCAGGAAAAGTTCAAAACTGCATTTCCTAGACTCCCTTTCAGCCAGGACTCTACATGTGACTCAGTGAAAGGAAAGAACTAACGGCTGGACTGCAAATATTATTCTAGGCTCAGGGATGCTTGAGTGTATTTGATCATTCGTCAAACTTCTTGTAATATCAACTAAGGCAATGGATCCATTGCAGTTAAATGAGGGATCCAAGGACGTTCCTAAGTAATGTTGTTCCGATTTGTAGAGATTGTTCATTGTATAACCTGTAACTGATGGCCTGCAGCTGCATTAGCAAATAGGAATTAGGAATACAACTTTCGGGGTGTGAGGTGATTAGCAAAGTGTTTAAGCTGAGGGACCCCAAACAATGTGGCTCCCCTATGTGATGTGACCTGCACTCACTTTAGCTTCTTGTCATTTCTTGAGACCAAAACATGTCCCAAGCAATGACTGGGCACATCACAAGTTACCTCTAAGGCCTCTGCCATGCTGTTGCTCTGGCTGCTCTCTGTTCTATGTCTTTTATTAAAGTTAAATTAAAGTTGCAAATGAGCTCAATTCTTCCACCACCAAAAAAGCCCATAAAGTCAGATCATTGGGGAAAACAATGGAAGATGCTTTTTATGTATGAATTCCTTGTAATACCATAGAGTTGAGGCTTCATCATTAAAAAAAAATAGATTAAAGGTCAGTATTACATTGACCCCACAAAAATATAGAGAAGCAAAGAGATTTGTGGATTAGACTCATGATTCAGCAAATACATATTTGACTGCTTTGTAAATAAACCAACCAAATGGATACAGTGACTTCTTACTTTACCACTTCTGTTACGTTGTACAAGGTGCACATGTAATAAAATAACTGATTAACCCATAATGTTTAGTTTATACAGCATAAATATCTAAAACTAGCTAAGGAAAAGCAAATTTTAGATTATTCATGTTAATAGGAGAGAAGCCACGCATGGATTAGTGCAGTGATTCTCAAACTAAAGTCTCTGAATAAGCAGTATCAGCATCACCTGGGAACCTGTTAGAAATGCAATTTCTCAGGCCAACCCCAAACTTTCTGAATCAAAAACTTGCAATCCAGGGGATTCTGATGCACGCCGAAGGTTGAGAACCACTGGATTAATGAAACCCAAGGACTATCTGAAGGCTTGTTACATCTAATGATTTTAGGGTTTTCTTCATACACGAGTTTGGTAACATCATAGCCAGTTATCTGACTGAATTTCACTTTTTCATCTTTCTCATTATACTCCCAAGTAGAAGTGTAAATAATGAGGGAAAAAGATAAGATAGCAAAATGTTGGGACAATTAGGAGATCAGTCATGGTTTCTTTAGAAGCTAGATAACATATCCCTTGGCCAATTGACAGTTCCCTATAAGTCTGTCAGGTTTCAAAAATGAGTAATATTCATTTATAAAGTTAGTTAATTCTATTGTGTGCTATGGGTAAAGAGAGAGCAGAATACTGTTAGGGTCAGTTCTGTTGATTTGCTTCAGGACAAGAGCATTAGTAGAAGTGGAGTAAGATGTGTCCATTGTATTATTAAAAGGTTCCCCAAAAGCAAATCTTGGGAGAACTGAGCGGATCCAAAGAGAAGGATTACAAGTAATTTGGAGATTTTTACCACAGATTCCATTTTCAGATAGATGGTGTCTAATTCTGCAGCAAAAATATGATAGCCTGTCTCTTCTTCAGAGCCCCTTTGCTCTCCCAGCCTGATGCAGGAATCCTGTGAATAAACCTAATACATTGGTTGAGAGTGAGACAGCTCTGAAACAGAAAGCTAATGATTTCATTCAGGCCACCTGGTAGGGCACATACTGAATTTGTGACAAAGTAAAGCGAAGAGGTGAGGGATCTAGCCAGCTAAACCTAAATAAATATGTCCTAGATGATAAGCTCAATATAAAATTAATACAAAAGTTGACTTTGTCTTAAAACTTGAATTCCCAAAGGATAAATTTTGCCCATTTGCCCTATACCCGCTTTAATGATTTAGATTATTATTGGCACAATCAGAATTTGTTTTATTTAAAAATGGCTCTCCTTTATGCTTATCCAAAATAGCACTGAGACCTGGTTTCCAAGTGGGACATTTTGCAAAAACTTCACATCCTAAAGAAAATATGTTGAAAAGAGTAAAGCTACATGGTAAGAAGATTTTTTAATACAAGGTTTAGGAAAACTTATTTAACATAACTGCATTCTATTTTATGATTTATACCATTACTTTGGTACTTTCAAATAAGACATGTAAACAAATATGTACAAACAACATTCTAATAATAATAACCAACATTAATTGAGCACTTACCAGGTGCTTGGCATTGCCTTAGTCCTTTTAATTAAATTGCATTATTTAAGTTTCAAAATATCTTAAAATAAGAGCTATCATTACTCCATTTTCCAGGGGAGGAAACTGAAGCTTAGAGAGGTAAGGTAACTTGCCCCTGCAGTAATCGGCAAAGGAGGGATTAGGATCAGTACTTTCTCTCCAAAGCCCGCCATCTGAACCTCACTGTCCTACTTCTCGAAAGCATTATGTAATCAGTGGGATGTTTTTCAGTGAGTACCTATCATTCAAAATGAACCTATCTCAATTATTAACTCTATCTGGGCATAAGAGTTAAAGTTGAACCTGGTACCATCCTGTAATCATCATGACTAAGTCTGCTGAGAGACTCCATCTCTCCTGGTCTATAACTTTTAGTCTCATCCTCAGAGCCTGAATTATTTCTAACTGGATCTCCTGGTCTCCGATGTGCTCCTGCCCAGTGCTTAGCCCTCCCCAGTCCTTCCTGGCCTTTAGGCTGCCTTCCTGGTTTGGATTCACCCTCATGGCAGCAGTGCCCGGAATCGGCTCCCTGCAGATTTCTCTTGCGTGTGCTTAGTTTCTCTGAAGCACATTCTACAGTACACAGCTTTAATGACTGGTTATCCTTTAGTTAGGGCTCACCTACTGTAGCGTTCTAAGCCTTGATGTAGACCTGCCTTGCCAGCTTTATAACAACCTCGAAAGCAGACCATCTCTTAGCTATTCCTCAAGTTGACCTGCATATACACTGACTGAACTTTTCCATAAAAAGAGACTTGTATGTTTTCCTGCTTAGGGGCTTTTCTATTCCACTTGGACATCCCATTCAGTTCTTACATCTAGTCTAAGAGAAGCTGCTAATTTTCGCCTAATTTTAAAATAAGAGCCTACATTTAGCAAATGTGACTATAAGCCAATCTCTGGACTAGCTCTCTGAGTTTCCTTTCTCTCATTCAATCTCACAACCACCCCGAGACAAAAAATACTATCATTTTCAACCGGGACTTAGAGGGGCCATTCTCCTTGCCCAATATCACACTACAAGTAAGTGGTGAAGCCAAGATTTAAACCCCGGCAGCCTAACTCCAGAGCCCATGTGCTAACCATTGCTCCACGCTGCCTCTCACAGCCAGGCATGGCAGATGAATACACAGCCCCAAAATCTATCAAGCTGTGCTAGACTAATTCTCCGTTTCATGGCATAGGTGTCTGCTGTCCCTAACCACAGAAATTAGGCTTCTCCTAATTCTGTCACTATTCTTTTAAAATATCAAAGCACTATTTTAAAAAGGCAACAGATGTTTCCTCACATCTTATTCTATTATAGTCCATGAAAAGCAAATAAGGGTGAGAAAACTGTTTTACAGCAATTTCTATAGGGGTTTTCTGGCTCTTTTTCTGCTTCTGTTACCATTCTTTTCTTCTTGACTCCACTCAACTTTTAAGACACAGATTTCTCTTTCCCTACATCCTTGTTTTGTGTTTTAAAGGGAGGGAAATACTAGAGGGAAGACTTCCCTGAAATTTGTGCTGCCTAATTCCTCAGTCAAAGCTGAAGACTGTCATGAAAAGTGTTTAAAATCCCTCTTACAATTTACAAGATCATCTGAAGATTTCTGAAACCCTATGTCTTAAGTTCCATGCTACTTCACTAACATGGGGTTGACACTGCAAGAGGTGCTCAGTTTCAGCTGAAACAGAATTTGACACAAATCTGACTACATGACTCAAATCTCATTCTTTCAAATGAAATTGCAGATACATTTCTTGAAATGCTGAATTCCCATTTACTCTTTACCTTTCAAGTCTATCCCTCCATCCTTCTGCCTACACACTTATTCATCTAAGTATTCCTTCAGACACCTCTTGTTTATCTATTTCATGCCAACCACTGTGCTGAAGTGTTGGGTATACAAACATAGACACATAAACTAAACGATTTAATGTTCTATGATAAGTCCTTTAGTAGGATGGAAAGTGCTAAAGGAACAGAGAGAATAGGGGATCTATCTTGAGTCAGGTAGGGATAAGGTAGGAAACTAAAGCTTCAGGGTAAGCATGATGTCTCACTCACTTTAATGGATGAAATAGGAGGTTGTTGGTGACTGGATGGTTAAGAGTGATGAGGGACAATTCTCAAATTGTCAATTCTCAAAATGTCAAATCCTAGCTAGTACAACTGGGTATATATTGATTCTCTCAACCCAGATGATAGAAATAGGAGGGAGTCTTAGGTGCTGCACTGCTGAGTTTAACTTCAGAAATCCTGAATTTAAGGTGTTTGTGTTACATGTAGGCAGAGTCATCAAAGGGACAGTTGAAATTATGGGAGTGAAACTCAGGGATCTAGATGTAAGAAACCACGTTTTGCTTGCAATGGTTTTCAAAGTTACTTCATGAACAGTGTTCTGCCTACTAGAGCTATATAATTCATGTCAATTTGTCTGATTTCTTCTTCCCTTCATATTTCTTATTTAGTGTTTTTACAGAGAGAGTTGATAGAATGCTGAATGAAATATTAAATCCATATTCTTTCTTCAGGTCAAAAAGTCCACATCTACTAAAAATTTTCTCAGCATTATACTTTCAAGATCAAAATCAATATTCTTTTAATAATCCAAGACATAACATCATCAAGAAATATCTTAACTATTCCCTTGACAGCAAAGGCTACTGTCTATTCCCTTAAGTAATTAGCAGTTTTTCACCCTTGATAATAATGAACTTCCTGGGCCAACCAGCAATAACACAAATGCAGTTTAGATTTAACAGCTGGCTTGAAAAACACACACACAAAACAGCATTGTCAAAAGTGCAAAGTAATGTAAAAGAGGTGGAGGGAAAAGCATTGGATTAACTACATATGACATAGTAAATGTCTTAGGATGTTAATTTGTGGGGGCCAGGCATATAATTTATAGCAGAGAATGAGGATTTCACTATGTGTTTTACATTAATCCACTTAAAATACGCATGTAGAGATAGAAATACAACCTGGAAATGAATCTCTTTTCAAAAAAGCTGATTATCTATTAACAAAAAATAATGAACCATAAATAGCAGTTCATGGAAATCCCAAGTACAAAGCAATCTGTCCTCGGATGAAAAATAATGCAAATGTCATGAGACTACTGGCTAGGATAAATAGAATAAAATAAACTAAACCCATTTGAAGGTGATTTTGAAATAAAAAAACTGAGGAGTTTGCCTTGATTACCTCAAAAAGTTTAGAAGTGCTTGGGAGAGGGAACCCAGTCCAATTTGGACCTAGGCTATTTTATTCTAATTTTCTCAAGTCAGAGCTTATAGTGCAAATAATTTTGAGAATGCTAAAATGGTTCTGTAAATATAGTTAGAGTCCATTTTAGCCCTTTGCAAGATCTTTTAATGGGAATAACTTAGCATTTAACATATAAGAACAAAAGTATTTTCACGGGGCTATACTGTACATATTTAGGCCTGGGGTAGTATTTTTCAGACAGGAAGTTGTAATGAGAGAATTGACAATAAATTGAAAGCAAACACCTTGAGAAAACTGGGATCTTTCCACTGGAGCTGGTCATTCATTTATATTTAAACAGTTATCTCCCCAAAAGGAGTCACAAATTGCTTGCAGGGAAAAAGAAAAAAGACTATGCTACAAGTCAGCTTTGCTCTTAATGAATGGGAGGTTAGAAACCCAGAGCACTGGAGCCTATTATCCGCCAAGAAGAACATTTCATGTTTAAAAACTCCATGAGGCTTTGAAGAGATATTTGATCTCCTTAGAAACTGTGATACATTTGAAATACCTTGAAATATCTGCCTACTTTTTCCAGGGTCTATATCAATAACACTTTTTAAAAACTCTAGTAAGTCCAGGGTAATAAATAACTCAAGCCAACACAGACATGGTGAAAGGTTCAGCCTAATCGCATCTTTCTCCACTGCATGGATGTTTACACGCTTGCAAGAAAGACAATCCTTTATGGCAAGCCCTCATTTCAGGATTTGAGTCTATTCACTCTTCTTCATCAAACGTCAACAATGAAGTGAGTTAGCAAAGTTAGATTCCTTCCTGTTAAGACAGTGGCAGCGGTGAACATAAGGTAACAATTTGCCACTCACTCCTATGGTGTCCTTGGCAGGCATTATTAATCAATTATGGCACTTTGCTCCCTCAGAATCTGTTAAGTGGCTTGAGGAAGGACCCTTCTTTACCTCTCCCCTTCAAGAGGCCCCCTTTGGACAGAGTTGTCAAAAACAACTTGATATAGTTTATAACACAGATACATCATCTACTGTACCTCTACTTTCATATTTAAATTAATTTGTTTAAGACCTTTTGTTTTTGTTACTATCAATCAGACCCCTGACAAATATTTTATCTAAATGATGCTGCATTTACTCTTTTGTTCCCACAGCTAATTTTAGGGACAAATTGTGCA